CACACTTTTGTACATTTATTATAGGCGGGGCTTCTACATTTCGCGCCATGTAGGACGAAACTACTGCTTGTCAAATAGGGTGGTATGTGATTAAAGTGCAGATATTGTAGAATTTAAGAAGTTAATACCATCATCAAAATTGGATAAAGCCAGTGATACACGATTATAAATGAGGAGTGAAGTCATATTTACCGTCTACATAGAATTCCATGCACACAAAAAAATACTAACAAGACAACAACCCCTCTGACCTGAAATATTTACCCGCCCTAATCTGATATTTCCCGCAAAAGGCCGGTGTAATTCTAAAATGAGGTTTTGTGTGGGAATTTATTTATCAAATACAGTGACGAGCCGTGACTTTTATTTCTAGGCCCTCTGACAGTTTCATCAATATCAGTTTCATCAATAACAAGTGCAGACCAGTTGAAAGTGAGATGATAATGCATGTTTAAACATACCAGGGCCGTATTCACCATATATATTGGGGGGGGGGGGGACACATCCCCCCCAATATTCAGATACACTCAAAATGTCCCCCCCCCCCCCCCCCAATAAATAGCACAAAAGAAAAATTTTGGATTTTTAAATTTTTTGATTTTTTAATTAAAATAAAATTGCTATTCTATGACTTCTTTATTTTGGTTATTTGTATACTTGAAAATCTATATTTTCTGTTATTGTGAACTTCACCAAAATGATATTTCTTTTCATATGTAAATTGGTTCCTTATTTTGTACCCGGGGGTGTATTTCGCTGTTGCACGTCTGAGTCCACCTTCAGTTAGCTTGATGCTCCAAGCAGGTCAGTCATGTTTTAATTTGCCCTCCATCAGTTCTGGTATCTTTTCTAGTTAGCCCTAAAGTAATCTATATTATTTTATTTCGTAATGGTAATGTTAATGAACCCTCCGGTTTAGCTTCTTTGTGTAAGTAACTTGTAGTTCTGATGTTAAAACCGAACTTTTCAGGAATAGTAGCTAACTAGCTGTGGGCTAGCTGGTTTCAGTTGTTAGCCAGGGTTTGGCGGGCTAGTGTCAGCTATGTGGAAAATGACGGTGTCGTTTTGGATGTAATCCAATAGATATATTCATATATTCATATTCATGTGGATTATTTCTATTTTATTTTGTAATTTGTAGGGTGTGGAAATATTTAAAACTGTGATGTGTGACATCTATGGAATACCATAGGTGCCAGAATGAATTAAATAATAAATACTCTACAATTATTATGAAATAGTATTTCATAATCGTCAGAAGCAAGCGATACTCACACGCAGGAGGTTTGCAGTGTGCATCATAGCTTGTGCTGGGTTTAGAACGCTCAGAATTGCTAATAAACATGTTTAATTATCTTATATCCAGCGCTGCTGACCCGTATTCATCACATCAGCAACTGCAGATTGCCGAGGTCAAGCTGTAAGCATGAGCAAGAGGAAGGGTGGAAGTGACATTAGACAGTTTTTTGGGCAGCCTCAGAAAAGAAAAAAAGTAAGTTAAGAGCAGTGAGAAAGTGAGTATTGTTACCAGTCAGATAGCTTGTTTACTGATAATATTTCTTCCATGTTCACTCTAGTGTGTTCAGAGTAAAAAGAGAGAGGGAGAGAGAGAATGTGAGCATGGCGACCAGACAGGGAGAGTGTGCGCTGGTGACATGGAGGTAAGTCAGAAAGGAGCTATATTGATGGTTAAGACAGAATAATGACAACATAGCAGTCTAATGTTAATGTACAGACTCCTGTGTCCCCCCATATGTATAATGTGTATCAACAGTCTTTCTAGTCAATAGTTTACTGATATTTCGTCCATGTTCACTCTGGTGTGTTCAGAGTAAAGAGAGAGAGGGAGAGAGAGCATGTGAGCATGGCGACCAGGCAAAAATGAAGGTACAGGAAAGGAAGGGGAGGAGCTTGGACTTTGCCCAAATCATCCAAATGTGAAGTCATACCCAGTCAAACCCTATCAAATAGAATACTCTACTTTCAGGAGAAGTGGTTTGAAGATCATACATGGCTCCATTACAGCCCCTCTGTAAAAGGGGTCCTCTGTTTCTATTATGCTAAATACTTTGCAGCACAAAAGTCTAAGCTTGCGTCAAAAGCAGATTCAGCGTTTGTCAAGACTGGTTTTAACAATTGGAAGAAGGCACTGGAGAAATTTAGTGTGCATAACAGCCAGTGTCACAAATTAGCTGTGATGACTAGGCTTCAGGAGCCAGAGCCTGTTAATGTGCAACTTTCACGTGAGCTTGAAAGACGGCAGCAACAAGCAAGAAGAAATCTGAAGAAGATTGTTGAGGGTGTGAGGTACTTGGCGCGGCAAGGTCTGGCTTTTCGAGGCGATCAGAAGGAGAGTGGGAATTTAAGCCAGCTTCTAAAGTACAAGGCAACGGGCGATGCAGAGCTGACCTCCTGGCTAAAAGGTCCCCTCGATTTCACCAGTCCGGAATTGCAGAACGAACTGTTGAAGGTGATGGCCAATACAATCATCAAATAAATGGTGTCGGAAATAACATCAATGCCAGTGGTCCAGTTCGCAATTATCATTGATGGCACCCAAGATATATCAGGAGTTGAGCAGGAGTCAATATGTGTGCGCTCTGTAGATGCAGATCTACAACCAAAGGAAGAATTCCTGGGAATCTACCAAGTGTCATCAACAACAGGGCAAAATATAGCCAAGATGGCATGTGATGTGATGACGCGCCTACAGCTTCCTCTGTCTCAACTCCGAGGACAAACTTATGATGGTGCCGCAAACATGGCTGGACGATTGCAGGGAGTACAAGCCATTTTAAGGAAAGAACAACCGCTGGCTGTGTATTGTCACTGTGGTCCCCACTACGTGAACTTAATTACGCAGGCTGCCTATGGAGCCTCTCCACTAGTAAGAGATGCAATGGGTCTGGTCCATGAATTGGGGGGCTTCTTTAATCAATCTAGCAAGTTCAAGTTGATTTTCCAGAATATCGCAAAATCAGAGCATGGTTCAACTTTCACCTCATTGAAGCCTCTCTGTCCCACCAGGTGGACTGTACGTACCCCTGCCATCCGCTCAGTTCTCAAGCAGTATGAGTCAGTGCTGATGGCCCTTGAAGAAATGGCATCATGCAGCTCACCTGAAACTTCAGCCAAGGCCAATGGTCTTCATGGAACATTTCTTAAAGGGAACACTGTGCTCGGCCTTTTAATGGCTGAGGACCTGATGGGGGATTTGGAGTGCCTGAACACCTCCCTGCAGCTTAGGAAACAGACCGTTTCAGGCATGTTGGAGGCTGTAGACCATGTCAAAACAAGCATGCAGGTCAAACGAACAGAGGAGCATTTTGATGTATTGTTCTCGAAAGCAACTGCTGTGGCAACAAAGTTGGACCTACAACCAATTCAGATCCCTCATGTCCGCAAACCTACAAAGCGTTACACCGGTCTGGCTGCAAGTTGGGGGTCTTTTTGATTTTGAATGAGCGGCAAGCAGCTAGTGCGAGTCGTGGCTGTAAAACAAAAGGGCAATAAAGTGTTCCTGTTTCTACTGAAATTGCGTGGCACAGACCTTTCTATGGATTGAAATTCTTTAATGTGATTATGGTTATAGTTGTACTTTATTCATCCCTAATCTCTGCCATTACAAACAACAAAACAAGAAAAGCTAAACTAGATAAAATAGGGCGATGTAATACAATGCACAATTAGACATTATGGTAAAACATTTTAACCAGTTAAGCCCCAAGCCTGTTTTTCAGGTCTCAGGTTTGAAAATGACTATCTTCACTTCTAAAAATGGTTAAATGAATAATCTTTTTTCTCAAAGCAATGATAAACCTGTGAGTTGGATGTAGAAAAAGTCAGAATCAATATAGAAGTTTTTTAAGTAAATTCAGATTGAACATAGTAAAAAAAATTAAATGATAGTGTCCGTGCAAAAAATAAACCATTACTTATTGTGAAAACCACCCTTGAAGGATGGGTTAAGGCAAGGCAAGGCAAGGCAAGTTTATTTATATAGCACTTTTCAACACAAGGCAATTCAAAGTGCTTTACAAAAAATGAAAGACATTAAGAACAAGGCATTTAAAATCAGTCATTAAAAAGAAAAGCTAATAAAATAAACATTAAAAGAAAAAATACATGGATAAAAGTTACAGTGCAGTCTAAGATATGAATAGTTCAATTAAAAGCAGCGACAAAAATAAAAGTCTTCAGCCTGGATTTAAAAGCAGTCAGAGTTGCAGCGGACCTGCAGGTTTCTGGGAGTTTGTTCCAGATATTTGGAGCATAATAACTGAACGCTGCTTCTCCATGTTTAGTTCTGACTCTGGGGACAGTAAGCTGACCAGTCCCTGAAGACCTGAGAGATCTGGATGGTTCATAATTTAGCAGGAGGTCGGAAATGTATCCTGGGCCTAAACCATTCAGTGCTTTATAAACCAGCAGCAGTATTTTGAAATCTATTATTTGACACACAGGAAGCCAGTGTAAAGACTTCAGAACAGGAGTGATGTGATCCACTTTCTTAGTGTTAGTGAGGACTCGAGCAGCGGCGTTCTGAATCAGCTGCAGCTTTTTGGGTTAGTAGACTAAAAGCTTTAGGAATCCAAACTATAACATATAATAAGTACCCTGTATCAAGATTGATGGAAAAAAAGTATTTCCAAGGCACACCTTTATATGATCATTATAGTTATACAAAATAAGAGAATAACAGAATAACAGGTATGAAATCATTCCAACTCATACTACAAAAAGGGAGTGATTTGTAAAATATGCATAAAGAAAAAGTAAATCTGTTCAGTTCTGTTTCACATGGGTGTTGTTGAGATGTATCCATAGATTTAGTCCCTAATGTTGCTCTCAAAGTGCACCAGATTGATGCTTTTAACTTCACCATTTAAAAAAAATCTTCCCGGGGGAGCATGCCCCCGGACCCCCCTAGAGGAGGTTAGGTCCCCCAAGTCAAATTGTCCCACCCACATTGAGGATGCTTCCTACACCCATGCCTGAGA